ATTAACCTAAAAATGACAAGTGCAAACTGTAACAATAATTCTATTAAAAGTTTTGCTTCCTACGTATATTAACCAGCTTAAAAAAAAAAAAAAAAAACCTCGTCTTAAACATACCTTGTATCTTATATATGAAGCCAAATGACTTTCTGTACAGCCACCTCCTAACAAAGCCAAGGGTTCCTTAATTGTTAACTGTAACACATGCTCTGCAGTTTCACATGCACGCTGAAAACCATATGAATTTTTTGTTACACATACCATAATATATAAGATTTCACACACACACTTAAAACAAACAAAAGAAAAAAAAAAAACACCTACTGGAATAAAGATTTTTAGTAATTCCTGGGAGAGACTTCATAAATTTGAATGGTGTGAATATAAACTTGGCACGTCACTTCCAAAACCATGTTTAATAACTGAAGAATAGTCTTTGTCTACGCTCCATATGGAAGAACAGAAAAAATGCTGTATTTTATTCCTTTTTGCAAAGCTGATTTACAAAGTCAACCAATATCACCACCATTTTTAGAGTAACTACTCAATGAAGAACTATGCCTGACTAGCCTTGCAGGCATTGCTGGTGACTTTTGATGGGCAACTTTTTTTGTGCTCCTATTAACCAAGGATGAGAATGAAAACATTTACCTAGCACTGGCTTTAAGAACAGGTGAAAAATTTCTCTCTGAAGAACTTCCAGCATTAAAATAGAGGTGTTAAAGGAACACAAGCACTCCAAAGATTTTGAAAGTCTGTAAACAATAGAATTTCTAAATCACTTTTTTGGAGCTATTTCCTTAAATCTAACTAAGTTTCACTTGGGAACCAAATATTTTTTAAACTCACTGTATTTATGTTTTCCTTTACTCTTTCTTTTTTCCACTAAAAGCATGATTTTTTTCAAGAAATATTTCAAGAAAACGTGCCCACCTTCAGTTCATCCCACGTCGTTTCATTTCTGTTACAGAGTACCAAGCTGCAGACAACTGTGTCATTAGGAATTAGATGGACAAAATGTTTTGAGCCAAAACTCTTAGTGCACACATCCTTCAAACTTCCATAACAACTGGGAGAAAACGAATGTATGGAAGCTATAGACTTGGAACCTGCCCAATTAAGAAAAGTAGAGAACAGCATGTATGAACGTCCTCAGAACAGATGCCTGTTGCGTTTCATAAAGCATGAACATTTTTTGCCCCTCTTGGCTTTTTAAATTACATTCTTCAATATCTAACATTTGTGACCACAGAAGAAATTACAAGCAGAAACCAGCACATTTTCACAGTGCAAGATTTAGTTTTACTTTAAGGTAATAGGTAACCTTATTACTCTCATTAGAAAGGAGTTTGAAAATAATCTACATCTGTAAATGGTTGCTAGAATTAGATACTCCTCAAGGAGCAACCAGTGATCATCTGGGTAGTATGTCATCATTACAGCTAGCCAGTCACTTAAAATTGCTTTCAGACAAGGAAGGAGCACCTTCTGGTTTGAAACACTTGCTCTGCTGCTAAGCTATGACAGTAGGTTTCCACTTCAAGACTAACATCGAGGGTAACAACTTAGTGCAGAAAACTTGCTCGTTACCTGTCATTTGACTCAGGGGTTCCATCACAGATAGCCCAGCTCTGTCCACAACCATGACTTGGTTCTCTTTCAGATACTGTTTCAACGATGGGTGGATAACTTTCTGGCACACTACAAGGCCCACCTCATCATTAACCAGCTGCTTTCCTACATTAAGCAACTGATTCAGCTCTGACGTTTCTAGAGAAATTCCATGATGGACTGTTATCATTCCTTCTTCAGGGTTGAAGAGGTCTCCTGACATGGACACACAGAAAAGCGCTATCTTGATAGTGTCAGAAGAAATTCTTTTGACAGAAGGTAGTTTTGCAAATTGAATTTCTGGTGTTTCTATCAGTAGTCCAGGAAGAACTGTAGAATCCAGAACTCTTCTACCTTTCACAGGTACTGTTACACACTTTCCTAAAACAGCCTTAGTTTCAACATGACACGGAATAGTAAACATGAAAGCCTTTACTATCAGCATGGTGAGATGATCAACTTCTGTTGCATTAAGCATGCAAGCGGGTTTGCTTGTTAATACGCTGCGTACCAAACAAAGAAGAGTCTTGAGATTGCTAAAATCCACAGATACTCGGCAACCACAGGCCTCAGATTTGAGGTAGTCAGTACACAAACTCAAAAGATCTTTGCTTATTTTAATTACAGTGCAAGATGGAACATGTAGGCTTCTAAAGTTTTCAATCAAGCTACAGCAAAGAATAGCAGTAAATAAGCCACAGTCACTGAAGCGGGCTACGTGGTTCTGTACAGAGGCTGTTAAAACCTTTAACACAGGATGGCTGACAGAAAGACGGCCAAGTATGGCTGAAGATTGTGAAGTTACACATACATAGCCTCCCACACCGTTGTGGAGTTGCTTAAGTCTACCAGCAGGACCATAGCAAGATTTTAATATCCTATTTAACAGAGACAGTGACTGGCTAACTGTATCTTTAGTTAAAGGGTCGCTAATAAATAATGAAGGCTTTTTAGCTTCAAGACGAGACATTTTCAAATTAACATTTTTGTTTTTACTTGGATCTAGAATTCACAGCACTTTAAACTCAAAATTTAATTCACAGTACATTAAATTCGAATTACTACATTTTATTCTTTGTAGCCAACGATTACTATTTCCAATGTGCAACAGTATGATAAGTACATTTGGTTATCTGCTCAGGATCCATCTCTTAAAATGAGGCTCAAATTGTGAAATTATATATAAATGACAACAATAAGCTATTTCATTCAAAACGATCATCTTTTTTAGTTTCCGAATGTGATCGAACAGATTTTTTTGCAACAAAGTTTACAAGCATGGTTCCAAAATGGACACCTATAAATGCCAGTCCTGCCACAAGTAGAAGATTCTTTCTACTCCAGCTAGCTTTCCTCATCTCTTCTTCTGGCAACACTCACAGGTGAAAAAAAATCTTCAAAGCTATTTATATCTACAACAAAAAACAGAAAGGCATTAGCATAATCTTCTGACAATATCACATAGCTTGAACTTCTACTTTTTGCCACGCAACATCATGTAAGGACAAATACCAATCTATAATGCTATTTGAGAATACACATTATTACACGCGAGCATGCAGTACAGAAACTACATTTTTGTTATTATCTTCAATTCTGACCTCCAGATTGATACTGTTTTACTTATAGGTCAATAAATAGCAGGCTACTATAAACTGTACTGGAGTGTATGAAAGTATCATAGAGTATCACATGGTATTGTATCAGCATCGTAGCGATGTTAAGCTGTTTTTACACAAGAAAAAAAGAACTGAAATACTCAGCATTGCTTCCCAAGCAACTACTTCAGAAACAAAAGCTCTTAATGTTGAGCCAAGTTTTAAGAAGCCTCTGAAAGACATCTTGCATACATTTTTTTTTTTAGCTCTTAAACACTTCAGAAATTAAATATGTATTTGTTTACGTTTATACACAATCTCTAAAGTATTTAGACTTCTCTCATACTTAACCATTCTTTTGTATTATAATCAGCATTGCTATAAAGGACACAATATATTACTCTATGTAAAGTCACAATTATTTCTGAGCAGCTTCGAACCTGAAAAGATGCTGTTATAGATCACGTCAGTCACAGGAATTTGACTATTGCCTTTAAAAGTGATGGGGCTGGTTTCTCAAATAAATTTAAGTCCCGTAGTAGCATAACTCAATTCATCTTATTACACAGGAATTTAACAGCAGTTTGCAAGTATACACGATGCAATTTTGGGGTGCATGTAACTACCAGGTTAACTCAGCTGCAAAAGAATAAAAACTCTGGAAGACCACATCTGTTAGAAAACTCATTTGACTCATCTCCTGCCTCAACACAGATAACTAACTAGGAAACTTACCTACAACAGATAGCACTACAGCTATTTTTCTTTATTTTTGTTATCTTTCTGCATCACATATGCCACAATCGCAGGTTCTGGCACAAAGTCCTCTGTCTTCACTTGGAAGATGGGGCTGGACTTGATGTGAAACCACCCCCAGTGCACCAGCCCAAGGCCGGTTCCCATAACAATCAGGACTTTGTAGCTCTTCCAGAAGGTTTTAAGGCCCATTGTAAAGTGGCATCTACCTAGGTAAAGACAGTTTATTTTAAAGATATTCCACAAATCCTGTCTCTTCTAACAGCACGGAACAGATACGCCTGAATGCTCATAACTTTAATTACAGCGCAGCACACGACTAAAACGAAACGACACAAGAAAGCCTTATTTTGTGACCTTCAGGAAAAAAAAAATTAAAAAAAGCTTTAAAAAACACCTCATTCAGACATCTTGAAACGTTAACTGGTGTTTCTGCTTCCAGTTTCAGCACGCTAAAGTTTAATAAAGCTCTGTCAATTTGTTATATTGACCTAATTACACACGCTACCGCTTCAAACAGCGAATATTTGAAGAGAAAGCTAACCTCAAAGCAGTTTTAAAACGCGCTATCCCCCCAGCTAATAAAAATAAGAGTGCCCGCCGCAGCGCAGCCCGGCGGCCCCCCACTCCCCTCAGCCCCTTCCCAGCACCTCAGGCTCCCGGGGCCGCGCGTCTGTGCCCCCACCGGACCGGCAACGGCGCCCTCCTCCTCGCCTGCCATTGGCCAGCCCCTCACCACGTGACTAGCCTTCCCCCGAGCCCCATCCGGCCGCTGCCCCCCCCAGGCGCCATTTTGCGTTCGGGCAACGCTGGGCGGGCGGTGGCTTCACCTGGCGGCCATTTTGGATAGGGGAGAAGAAGCTCGCGGGCGGCGGCCATCTTGCTTGGGGGCAGAGGAGCCGTTAAAACCGTTAGGGGCCGGCGGCGGGGTGCCCGCACGGCTCGGCACCGTTGTCCTGCCGGTTACCCCTTTTCTTAGTTGTTCTCCAAAAATCAAGGTGCCTGGGCGGTGGTTTGAGGAGGAGCGGCGGCCGGCTGTCCCCCCGCGCGTCCCTGAGGCGCCGCCCCGTGAAGCATCGCCCCGGCTTTTAAAAAAAAACACCTCAGCTTTGCCCCGCTCCGGCTGCAGCCGCTCTGCATCACTGCTTCGCTCACCTGGCTGAGCCCTCGTGCAGGTAGACGCTGGTATCCTCACCACAACACGTTCACGAAATCTTCCTTGCCTCAGTTTCCTGGCTGCTCCTCCAAACACCGCGGCTGGTGTCTTCTGCGCTCTCCCGTGCTCACGCTGCTCTGCTTGCCCTGCACGCCTGCTGTCACTTTCACTCTGTCATGTCGCTATCTTCTATCGTGCTTGTCTTTTTATTATGATTATTTTGCTTGTGCAGAACTGTGGAGCTTATAATTGCAGCCAAAAGTGCAGGTTTTTAAAAATCGTTTTTAAATTGAGACAAATTTAAGTTTTAATCTCTACACAGAAAGGAGTGTGACGCTTCATAAAAAATAAATAAATAAAATCGAGTAGCTGGTGCTTCACTCAGCTATGCAAAAGCGTAACAACCAGCACCTGCCTGTAATTGGACACTCTCACGTTTCTTTCATTTCCCTTAAATCACAACACTTGTTTAGTGAAAGTGTAACACTATTGCAATGTATTGTTGCGCTCTGAAAGTGCACTGGCTATTTGTGAAGGCAAATGTTTAGATAACAATGGGCTAAAATAAACTTTTTGGAAGAGCATTTTCCAATGCTTAAGTGGAAAAAAGGCTGCGGTGAGCCTGAAATTCCTGAGACAACAAAACCTAAAGATGCTGCAGTGTTCCTCCACGTGTAGAAATGCTTTACTAAATATGTGTATTGCTTAGGGTCACCACTCAATGACCTGAGGTGTAGGATCGGAGCTCAGAAACTGACTAAAAAGAGCCTTGAGTATGCACTGGACAGCACTCACCGTCTGATATCCAAGCTCTGGAGAGTTCAGAATATATATATACATATATATATATATATCATGAAGGTTAATTTTGATTCTTTCATAAAAAAAACAGTTATTATTGACTACTCTTAGAGAGGTCCTCAATTAGTGTTTTTGTCTTTTTCAGGTACCTGCTTCTCCCCACGCGTGGTAAAGGCACCCAAAGATGGTCAGTGTGAACAGTTTGCAGCTGTTGTGTTAGAAGCTGCTGTATTTTCAAATGGGCATGTGTGGCAGGAATTTTCAGTTCCTTATCTCTACTGAATTCCAGGTTGCTTCAGCATTGGCAGTCCCTTCTTTGCTAAGGTAAGATGCTGTGCATCAGCTGACTGAAAATACTTTAGCTTGCTTTCTGGGAAGCCCTGTTTCCTCAGTTTTCCTGGGTGTCTACCAATCCACTTAACCTCAAATTTCAGAAAGAAAGATATTCTGCTACGTCACTTTTGAAATATGCCTCGCTCTTGTTACCAGGAACCTATATGTTTAATTCTAGGGCTTTTTTTTTTTTTTTCACTTTTCAGGCTGTCCATTAAAAATTTAGGTGTTAAAATACTACCAACAGTATATGAAAACTTGTTGGCTTTGTTTTTAAGACTATAATTTCTGAGAGTAGCTTTTTTGTCTTATGGTTGTCTTCATGTTTCCTTATGCATAGTTTCATTTTCAGGCTTGCATTAGTTTGTGAAAAATCTGATATTCCATTAAACAGATTTTGTTGCCAAATAGCAGTAGATCTTGATCTCGTGTTTTGCAACATGGAAAATAATAATGTATTTTGAGGAGCATTGGCATCTTTTCTTGTAGAACTGACTCTTTTTTTTCCCCCTGATTTCTGAATATTAGTGTTTTGGTTTTGTTTCTTCTATTGCTTTGTAAATTAGTTTTGGAAACGGTTTCTTTCTTGTAATGGTCCTTGTCACAGTAGCATTGTTGATGGGTGGCAAATTCTTACGTAAAAGAGGGGGCTGATGCCAGGTGATATAATTTAGGTGATTTAAATTTAATAATTTAGGTGATAAGCACCCATCTCTAATTTGTTTTCAAGCAAGACATGAACATTTGGGGAGGAGATGATACTCTGGCATATTATGTTTCAACTCTTCTTCGTATCATTGCTACTATAAAGATTAATGATAAAACACCAGTCAAGATATAGTTCTTGAGTTCACAAACCTACAGCACCATTGTGAAATTTGTGCCGCATGCAGCTCAGAAATGATGTACCACCTAGGTAGATTAGGGAATGTACCTTGTGTTCTATCATTATTAGCCTTTGGGTTGCCATAACCCAAGGCATAGTTAATTCCATGTCAATGTTAGGTTTGCTAATATTATCTTTGCTGTTGTAGGAGCTCTTTGTTGATGGCGTGCTCCACAGCAAATTGTAATTCTAAATTTCCTAATTTAAGATTGTGGTTCTTGAGGTTTGGATAAGAAACTATCTATATCAATTATCACTTTTCTGTTTTTGGTATTTTTTGCCTACTGTTTTTCTATTTCTTTTCTTTTTGATTGGGGAAACAAGGTGGAGGGATTGTTAACAACTCTATAGATACACACCTGTCACTAAAATAAAAAAAAAAAAAAGAAATCAGAGATGCTGCTTCAAATTTGGACACCAGATTTTTTTATTATTATTATTTTATTTTTTCACAGAGAAGCTGATAAGCTGTAAATGTCCAGGTTTTGTGCTGTTCGGAAAGGGCTGTGACGTATCTTATTACCTGCTTTTCATTTTTCTGTGTGGGGGGTAGTCCTTCCTTGGAACTTCCTAGAACTTCCTTGGAGTTCTTGAACACCAAGAGTATAATGTTGTATACCATTAGAAGACATTGAGAAACACCTATGTTTTTTGCTCTGGAGGATGCCATTTCCTAGTAGCTTCAATCTGTCCTAGTTCTAGCAGCTGCTGTTTCAAGAATTACTAGATTTTATCTCCTGCTAAGATTCTTACAATAGTTCTGTTACATTTACTTCCAAAGTGAAGTAACATCTTACTACCTGACTGAATTGAAAAATATGATATTGTAAGTGATCAAGGGCACTGTTCTCTATGCTGTTTCTGAAACTTGCTCTCGGTAATATTGACAGAATTTACTTGATAAGGTAGTAAAGATTTTAGGGCTGTTTTGTGCAAGGGAGGATGATAGTCTTGCGTTTCATGGCGTGGTATTCCAGGTTCTGTCTGTGTGAGCATTATTTGAAAATTCACCGTGCTCTTTATTACTTGCTATTTAGTAATACTGTGGAGCTGATGAGTTGCAGTAGATACAATTCCTCTAACTTTGAGCTTTTGCAGAACATAGTAAAAATGTCTTATTAGCTATATTGAAGTTTATTTTCAGTAGTTACTTGTGGAATGGCTCTTAGTTCAAACTCATTCTTAAACTGGTTGTTACTGTAACTGAGTTATTTCTTACTGTTTATGATGCATTTACTATTTCTGTTTCTTACTGCTTGGATATTGACATGATGTATAAACAAATTATTGAAGTCACTGGAAGTTTTCATTGAGCCAGTATATGGAATTGAACCTTGCAGCTTTAGCTTTTTCATGTAATTGTTCTGAGATGTCAGGTCTCAGCATTTGGATATTTGGAATGAAAGCACTGCAGAGAAGTGATTATCTATTTCAAAATTACTGTGGTTGGATCTTAAGATCAAAATTATCTGTGCTATGCTATGTTGTTCTTAAGTTGGTCTTTATATTGTTTTGCCTTTTTTAAAGCTAAATAAGGATAGTGTCTGCATTTTTAAATATGTAAGTGTAGTGCCTGACAGAGAAAGATATCACCAACCTGACTTGTGTCCTGAAGTTTTGACAGCTCTGTCGCAATGTTTTACAGTAACTGGAACTAGACAGTGGGAAGTGGGTACATATTCATAGCATTCTTGCTCTTTTTCTGTACTATCTCTTAAAAAAAGATCAGATTCCTCTAGCATGTTAAGAGACTACTCCTTTAGGAAACTTTAGAATGTAAAAGTCAGCTCTGTTCTCAGTGTAATTTCTGTTGCAGTTTGTTTATTGCAGGTGCCAGATACAGACACTTGCTTTTTTTTTTTTCTTGATTTTGAAGCTTGAGCTGTCTTACTGGTTCTTATTTTCCTCCAATACAGATATACTCTCGTTCACTTGGTTTTCTGTCCAATCCCCATCTCTCTCTTGTCTGATACCTTTGGTCCTATCCTACGTGAAAAAGAATATATCTTAATTTTTTATTCTCTGGTGTTTGTAGCTATTAATTTGGTACCATTGGGCTTATCCCATGTCTGTTCTGAATTCCAGCATTGTAGGGGCTAGCTGGAAAGGCTTTCACCGATTTCACATAATTTGCTGCCTTCTGACAAGTGAATGTTTAGCTCCCGTTTATGTGGGAGTGGTGAACTTCTCCAGTATTTTCAGTGTAGTGACCGTAATGTTGTCAGGTAGGAAAAAGGCAGTTAAAAAAATGAAATGAATTTGACAGGTGACAAGAGCTGTGACTTGCAAGTCTACTTGAAGGCTGTAGTCATTTGAGTGAGTTACAGTGTTCTTCTAAGGAAAAAAAAAGTCTTAGTGATTAACTAGAGCTTTCCTTTTGTACCCAAGGGAGGATAGTGGGTTTAACTTCCAACATGAATTAACACTTCCTAAGTTATTTGCAATGGCCCTAGTCAGGGTCAAGATCTGTGCAGCTAAATACTTTCAAAAAATCCTGTTTGGGATAAGCAAGAGGATGCCTGAAATTCACTTTACATTTGTGCAGCCAGAATAATGCTCAGGTCGCATTGCTTTATGCATGTAATGAAAAGTTTAAAATTTTAAATGAATGTACAAACATGCATAGTAAACCACAAGCCATAACTTCTTTAATCCAAAAACAAAACCCCAAACAAACAAACAAAATAAAATAAAAGTGTGCTCTGTTCTTCCACTGGTTTAAACTCGGAAACCCCTGAGTACCAGAACTTTACACAGCAAATAGGTGTCTCAATTCTGAAATTTGCTTTCTGCAGTTTGGCCTTGCTGAACTCCTGTTAAATATAATATGTCGTCGTGCTCTTGAGAGAGATGTTATTCCTATAGGAGCATTGGCGTATGCAGCCTGTCATGGGCTCCCTAGCTACACTGGAGTGGAGTATCCACAAGATAGGAGGGGATGAACTTCACTTAGACTCTGACAAGTGCTGGTATTATTTCATGTATTAAGGTTTTGGATTTGCTATTTTTCCCCCTTGAAAACAAGTCCTTTTTTTCAACTGTGTGTGTGTGTTTCTTCTCTCTCTTATTATTTCTTTGAGCTATGCAAATGGATTTTATGTGAAGGTATTTTTCTGGAAGAGAAGTTAGACCAGGGGGCCAGCGGTTGAGACAGTAGTAAAGGAACATTCCGAGTTTACTATGCTGCTGTCTGAAAGGTTGTTTAGGATAATTAACGTCATTTTGTCTCTACCTTGGTACTGGTCTGAAAAATAGTTCTAATTTTGTATTTCAGGTGTTTGTTGCTTAGTGTCCAAATGGTAATAAAGTTCTTTAAAGAAACTGAGACAAGCAGCGAAGTAATTCTCCTGTAAAGAAGAGTTTTCCTTGGGTTTCTTAAAGCAGAGAATATAGTACGAAGAGCAGCAATAATGGGGAAAAAGAGTAATAGATTTAAAAACATTCCCTGTTGAATAATATCCCCTCTTTTCTGGTATAGAGATATGAGTTTTTCCTAGTGCTGATCATTTTTAATTGTTATTTTTATAGGACCAGTTTACATTGAACAGTCATAACAGTCATGGCATCCAACAAATTTGTCATTAAGGTAAGTGGGATGTTATAGCTTTCACTTAACAAGAAAAGGAAAAGATACTTCGTGATACTGCTTAGAATGTTTGTATGGTGTTTTAAAAAGCTGATGATGAAGAGGTGCATCCTTCAGGCCTATGGTCGTGGTAGCATATTTTGTATCAATGTTTCTACCTTTGGAAGCAAACTTCTTGGATTGCTGGCACAGTGCGTCTGAGGTCAGCTGAATATTAGAGTCATGTAACTAAAAGTGATTAGTTGTGTAGCTGGAAACTGCGTGAATTCTTGATAAAACAGTATTTGCTACCAGACTTAAAATTTAGCATTGATTCTTCTTGTACTGTAGGCTTGCAATATTATTTGTATAATTCCCAGATAATCTAGGAATTCGTGGCTTAAGGGCTGTATTTTTCTTAAACGTTTTTTATCACATTTGACTCTTCGTTTTCATCTTTTCTTGCCTCTCTTTCCATTCTCAGGGATTAGTTATTTTATATCTGGCAAAATGCTGTTATGGTTTTATTTGCAAACAATCAAATTTAGTTATACATCTGAAGTATGACACTTCTCAAAACATTCTGTAATAACTATGCTAAAAGAATTACAAAGTGCTATAACTGTATCAGTTTATTAATAGCTAAACTAATTGCTTAGTAAAAATTGTGAAGCCTTCTCTTTTGGACCATCTTTCTTACTTCTGTTTGCACATGTACATCTGGGGTAGTGCATTTCTGAATGGTTAGAGCAGTTTTCTTAACAGAAGAGACTTTTTTTTTTTTTTTGGATTACAGCTACAAATATCTTCCTGGCTGATCTGGCTGTGGAAGCTGTTGAATCTTTTTTTTTTTTTTTTTTTTTTGTGGGTAACAAGCAGACAAATTTTAAAATTATATATATATATTTGCTATGGAGTACAGTCTGTTCTTTTCTGTGGAGAAGTTACCTTATTTAGTGGGACACTTACTTAAATCTTTTTAATGTTTTAATGTGTTTGTAAACCTTAAATTGATATTATCATGTCTTTTTTTTTTCCGTGTTCTCCTTTATTGACATACTGTTCAGTACTTCTCAATTAGGGTAGGAGTTAGGAGGAGTATCTTTGATTTTGAGCTCATTTTATTTGATATGCTGACTTCATATGCTGCTGGTGTATTGACAGGAGAACAAAAGGAGCTGGGGGTAAAGCTATTGTTTTTCTCAGCTGCTATCTCTTGATATCATTAATAGTAATGCAAGTGGTATGAGTTGAAGTATCTTTGCTAGATAAAAAGGCCTAAGATGATTGGTTGCTGACCTGCGTTATTACAGTTTGCTGATTCAGCATAGGCACTTCAGTGTTACTCAGTATGTACCCTGGTAATCACTAAGTACTTTAATATCACCACCTGAGCAGATGGATTCATTTCACATTGAGCTTGAATTTGTAGGTAAGCAATATGATAGGTACAGCTTTTGAGATACAACTTAATTTTCTTCCCACTAACCTTTAAGAAATGAAGATTAATTTTTGCATGCACAGAATGTTGAAAATTAACTCATATTGACTTTACATTGCATATTTGATACATTTTATTCAAGGCAAATATGTAAAAAGCTAATGGGAATTCATTTTGGGCAGAGAGATGCATATCATTGTATTTTAGACCAGGGATCTTGTGTGTGAATTTTTGCTTTTTTATATTCATTGGTTGTACAATATATCCTTTTTAAAAGAATAAATCCATTTTTAAAGATAGCCCAATTTTCACATGATTTTATTTTTTCAAAAAAGGTCCCTGTGCAGAAGACACTTCCAATGAAGGGCAGAACATGTTACCACTCCTCTCCACAGGGAGAGTATGGAACATAGTTATGTTTTTATTTTTAGGTTCCTGGTGTTTGAAATCGATGGGGATATTTTATGGAATCTGAAAGTCTGTTTCATGTATGCCGTGTCTTCTCTGTTCTCTATTTTAGATTTTTACGTTTTATAAGTATCCGTACATTAATCTTTTTGGTAAGAGACTGAAATGTGCAGCTTATTTGTCTTTTGAGTCTTGGCTAACTCGAACATAATTTAGGAGGAAAACACCTGTCATGTTTTTAATGGCTTTGCTTCTTAAAGTACAAGTTAAATCAGGATCTCAGTACCTCCAGTGTAATGGTCAGATGTTTCCAGTAGAGGGAGGGTTTGGCTTATTTTTGAAAGGTGTTCCTAAGCCTGCTTTTATGGGCAATTAAAAGCGAATGGAATAAAATAATTGATGCTGTAAAATTGCTTTAAACCTTAATACAAAAACAGTCCTAAACACACATTCTTTTCTTGCCAAATGGCTGGATGCCATAGTGCTGTGATGTGCAATAGATAATATTTTATACAGGTTAATTTCATCAGCCATTTTCAATTTTAAGTAATATTGATACTTCATAAAGCACTATATGGTAAAATACTCCTAAATATGTAAAATCAGACATATGAATTAAATTAAGCTTTTTATGTTGCTAAAGTATTTTACTGCTGTTCTGAGAAATAAATCTTAACTTTAATTGGTGAGGCTTAAAGCAAAATCATGAACTCTATACAGACTTGAAAAATAATATCACTAGGGCCTTGTTTAAAACTTTGGACAAACTAGAAAGAATTACTCTTCTGAAATTATGTAAATTGAGTTTATCCATGTGAAACTGCAAATCTAAATACAGAAAATTTTATAGCTGTAATAGAAAAATTTCATTTACTGTTTTCTGCAGTTTGTTCATTTGCCAAACACTGAAGACTTTTCAAGTTGTTACTACACTTCAATAGCTCAATGCAAAAGGAAGCTTATTTTACTTTGGCATTTCCTACTTTCAGAAGTTAAGAGCCTCTGTTCTATCTCAGAGTTGCAGGCCTTTGCTAGCATATATCTTAGATTTAATATAATTATAGTTTGTGTTCCCTCTGGTCATCCAGCACATTCTGCAATTGATTTTTCCGTAGTGTTCCTTGTTATCAGTTGAAATTATTGTATGCTGGGAGTGTATATGAAACCCCACTTGGTCCTTCCTACTTAAATATTTTTTTTTTCTTTGTATTGTGAGCTCCTTTGAAGCAGCAAGCATTTTTCTTTCTTTCTTGAGAGTAAAGCTAGAGGTATCGAATGGGACTGGATAGGAAAATAAAAGCGTGACTGGAATGTAGTCAATCTTCCCCTTTGTTTTGCTTCTTTATGTATCTGTTACTTAATTATCCATAATATAATGAAATCATTTCTATGTTGCTTTATAAGAAAACACATCATAACATTTGTCTGTGGAATATCTTAAAGTGCCCCATGAAAGAAAGTGTGCGTACAAATTATGTTGATTGTAGGCTGTAAGGGGTAGGCAAAGAGAAATGGAAAGATACATTCTGTTTTTAGGGTCTTTAGCACAGAACTGCTCATGGTACTGTTTTGTTTGGTCTGGAATAAGAAAATGAATTATTTAATTCAGAGGGGCCATTATGACTTCATTTTTTGTTTTTTCCATGCATCTGTTAATAGATGTCTAATGCTAAAGCTTCTTACTGTATCTCTGCTCTTTCCAGTGTGCTTTAATTTTCTTGCTACCAGCTGAAATATTATACAATGACGGTGTGTTGACAAAGATTTCTGTATCACGTATGCCTTTCATTCTGATTCTTAGATGACATTGAAGTGGTCAAGCAGAATAAGGCTCATATTTCTGTGTAGTGTGTCCAGTGAATTAGCTGATTGATATTTCTGTAAATATTGATCAAATCAAATATCTGTAAGTTAAAAATGCCCCCTGTGAGAAGGAGGGGCATATTTGCTTCCTCTTGAAAATTATTGGGAGGGGGGGGAAAAAAAACATGATTTTTTTTATCTAATTCTCTAATTCTATAGTCTGTTTCCCTCTAATGAATAATGGAGAATAGTAAAAGTGTTTTACTGCTATATTAAGTTCATAGATACATGAAAGCAGTGCTTTTGAGTGGAGAATAAGAATCAAGAATACTGCTTGTGTTTAAATACTTTTTTCATCTGTTGTGACTGTTCAAAGTTACTAGACTGGTACTAGGGATTTTTTTACATAAATAGTTTTGAAAAGTGTAACAATGTTTTCTAGTTCAAGTTGTGCTTTTTCGAGAGCACTCAGTTGAAATAAGTAACACATGCGGTATCTCTGTCCTTTTCCATGTTGCAAAGCTTAGAAACGTGTGTGAAATTGTTGTAGTTGGAATACTTGCAAACGTTTTAGTAAAAATATGCTAAGATTCAATTTTCTAAGAATAAACAGAATTTGCAAAAGTATTTTGAATCTTAGAAGTATGGTAGCAGAGGCCTCACAACTGATTAAACGTTGTTGAATTTTGCATTTGATGTGTATTGTGCGTTCTTATGCTTCCTTTATGGATCTTTACAATTTCAGGAATAGCTAAGTTAACCATTTAGTGGTGGTTTTCTAGGAATGTAGTTCTCCTAAAGTGATATTGCTTAGAACAATTATAAATACAAGTAGGTGGAATTAAGTACACTTCTGTGATGTTTGTGTTAATTTCTACATGCATGCATAAAATATGACACTTGTCTTAAAGAAGATACTAAGGAACCTGTGGGTAAATGCGAATTAAATTGGGAATTATTAAGCAACAATAGAGGATGGAGAAACATCTATTTTGTTTTCTTTCTTACTGTGCATTTCAGTCCCAGTTTTATGGGACTAGATATGGAATGACCACGGTGATGAGTAAATAAGTTCCAGAAGAAAGAAAAGAGAAAGTTGGGAGGTAGAAGGGGGAGGAAAATTGAATGCATGTTCTAATTCTAAGCCTCCTGGAGTCAATGGAAGTTTCCTGACTGACCTCGGAGGATTAATTTTCAAGCTTAAGGAAGTGATGAGCGGACGGAGAACTGAGACATTGAAGTGTTAGCAGAAAGGAAAAGGAATGGGAAGCCAGAGGAATAAACATCAGTAGGGGAAACACTGCTTTCACAGGGATCATTTTGAATGAGGAGTAAAAGGATGGTTCAGCTTCTATTACTCTTTTGGCTTTGGAAATAAATTAATCTGATTAGTATAAAAGTACTAGTTGTGCCAGAAATTGAGAATTTGGCTAATTGTGAATGCTATGCTACTGTGATGGTAGTATCATTCTAAACATACATCATACCAGGTGATCTGATTTTTTTTTTTTTCTTTTAGGCATAGTAAATTTGAAGATGTTATCTCCATGACAGTTGACTTATTTCTGACCCAATTGGCCTTATTTCTGACCACCACCAACATATTTTTCACTTCTACTGTTCTGCTTGTCTGCTTGGTGGTACTGCCAGCATGACCCCTTAGTCCAGCAATGAAGGAAGAAGGAATGGGGAACTTAGAACCAAACTTAATGTCTCTCAGTCCAGCAAAACTTCAGGACTTAGCAGGAGTTACTGCATGGGGCTGGTGATTGTCTTTAGGTCCTGGGATAGGCTTCTGCTTGTGTTGCAGGTGAAATTCTTCAGTTTCTTCCAGTGAGTTCAGATGGGGTTAGACTGGAAGGTAAGGGGATCTCTGTTTCACACAATACCTTTATGCAGTAGTGAGTAATGTCATGTCCAAACAGTTTGATTGTAGTGATGCGGTTTTTGCTGTTGGTGTTAGAATCATAAAATTGAAATTGAAAGATTCTGCATGGTTTCACATGGCCTCCCTCCTGGGTAATGTCAATAGATTCTGATGTGTGGATGTTATGTGGGTATTTGGGTTTTGAGTGTTCTGACTGGACTATGAAATAAAATGAAGAAGAGAGGCTGACAACACATTTGAATTATTTCCTTATGTTTCATCCATGTAGTTCAGTACTTCCTTAAATGGAACTTATTTTTAAAAGCAAAATTATTGCTTGGTTTCAATTCCCAGCTAAAAGCTTAGTTTCTGAACATTTTATATACTGCAATAGTTACCATTGAACTATGACTTTGCAGTATTTTTCTTGACTCAGTAGCCAAACTTTTCCTTAAATAATGGTACCACAGGATGTGGCACCCTATTTCAGTATTCTGCTGCAGTCATTGCTAAGCATGAGCACTGACGATGCTTGACTATTGTGAAAACCCTTTAAACTGCTGATAAAATGATGACTCACGGTCACCTGATGAAAACAGATTCATTACCATGACTCCAGAAACTTTAGATCCCATGTAAGTGTTTCACTTCCCACACTAGTTCTTCTAAAAGGGATGATGATGCGGTTATTTTCTAACAGTTGACAGCTGCTCATTTAAGCTGTGACAATGTGGTTGGCAAAAACTATAAATTCCAGACATTTTTTTTAAACAATTTAAGGAACTAAAATCCGTATGAGCTGTGAAGAAATCACCAACATTATCAGCAGCGTTACTTGGAGTGTTTTCTAATCAAATTATACGTCTTAGATTTCATTTACCACTGCTAAATTGAGTTCGTATTATGGTGGATCTGACCCAAGCCTCAAAGTCTGTGGGCTTTAGATCAGAGCCTTTAGGAGTATACTGGCAGCACACTGTATCTTAACTAAGGACATAACTACTTTAACTTATCAACAATCTTCACTTTAATTTATCCATCTTTTTTTAAGCTCAGTCTGTTTGTCTGTAATGTTGATGTCAAAAGAAGTAGGCTGGAAAAATAGTGAAACAGACAAAATAAAATCTAAATCAGTATTATTTTCATTAGGAAAAGAGTAAAAAGCCAACCTAACAAACTGTCTTGACAGTTTGTGATTACTCAAGCATTGTGAAAAGATAAAGCAAAAAAAAAAAAAGTGAAAAACATGAAATGAAAGTTTATGATTCTGTTACAAAGTAGACAAAGGTAAGACTTAATTGCTGGAATTTAATAGTGCTCGACAAGTAATTGAATGTGGGGTAGCATGGCATGGCTAATTCATTTGTAAATGATCAGGAGTTCCACTAGTGACTTTTATCTTAAACTAGTTTTCTTCTTTTGACTGGAAACATTTTTAATTTTAAGTGCTATGAGCTACCATACTTAAGGAAATAAAAGTATCAAGTGATTTCAAATTTATGTGATTAAAACTTGTGCTAAAATGGATAATGGTCAGTTTGTGTATGGGACCAATACAAAAATGTTTGTTTTTAAACAGATACTAAGTAAAATTCATGATTTAAAAGTTGACATGTAGGATCCTATGGTATTGTAGTTACATCTCCATTTCTGTTCTTTTTTTTTTTCTTCTGTTGTCTCATTTCAAACTTAGGTGGTGGACATGATCTATCTGTTTGGTGCTAAAATCTGGTACCCATCTAATTTGAAAATAATTATCAGATCAGAACTGAATATTCAGTTCAGATATTAAGGAAAATACTAGAAACAATATAACTTTCTAATATGTTGTAATATCAGTCGTACAAATGCTGTTAAGAAGTCACATAGGGGACAATCATGGCTTTTTCTTTTTAGTCCCTGAAAACTCTCTTCTCCATTTTTATTACCACAGATAAAATGGTAATGAAGAGCAAACATTTGCAGATTTAATAATGACAGTTAAAAATAATGACAGAAATGCATTTGAAAAACTGTATAATATGGTGTGAAGTGGTATCTTAATCAACAGACAAGAACTCTTACTGCAGAAGTTCTGCAGTTTGTCTGTATTAGAGCCCTTGTATATTTTTATCCCTAGTTTTTTTTTAATAGGATAGAATCTGTCAACTTTTGCATTTGTGTGATTTTACTTGGGCAAATCAAGAGAGAATAAATGCCTTCATATAATAAATAAAAATCCCAGTAGCTGTATAGGTGCATTTAGTCATGGAAATAAATGTTTAATGAAGGTAGCTTTTGGAAGCTTACTCTGTCTGCTGTACCTTTGCATATCAAACTAATCTGTTTTGTTTCCTCGCTTCCTAGAACACAATATTTTTAACAGGGCCTCCGTGAACACAAACTCTGCTTACTACGAAAGTGTCTGTAGTTGAGAAATTTTCCCTTGCGGAAGTGGGAAGAGAACAGTTTGTAGTTCAGATCACGTGCAGATAATTTGAAACCAAAAACTTAACTGCAGTGACTTGAGTGCTTTAAGATCATCTTTTCCTGTTGCTGTGTACACTTTGCTAGGGAAGTATGGTCCTTTTATGAAACCTTAAGGCCAAGTGCTGTCTGTCTTGTTTTGTACTTTCTTGTCTTTGCCTCATCTTTCTTTGAGGCCTCTGCTATTGTAGCTATCTGTACTTTTTACAGACAGATCCTCTTGCTTGAAATCCTGAGTCTACAACCTTCAGCTTTTACCTAGATTTTTTTTCCTTTTACTATGTAACTTGCCATGTATGTCTGAAAGAGCATTCAAGTGGGGAATCACTGTTCAAATGCTGTATCAAATATTCTTTGAAGTATAGGTAGTTGTTAGTATGAGGGGGAGTGAGGAAGAGATCAGAGGAGGGGAAGATTGACATAATATCACTGATTTCCACACAAGAAACAGACAGAACATTTTGATGTGACCACAGAACATTTTCTTGGCATTTTAATGTTGCCTCCTACAGGAGTTTGAGGGTGTCTGTGGAAGTGTGTTCAGAACTCTATCATCACTTTGCTCTGAAAACCTGTGCAGTAACAAAACTAAGCTAAACTCAAACCCAAGTGCAAGGTCCTCTTTGGAAGGCCCTGCTTAGTTTCCAGGAAGTAGTGAGGTGTCTGGCATATCTGACATCACTCAGCTGATGAAACAATAGTTTATATAAGATGCAGTTAAATCCCGCCTTTCAAGTTCAAGCCAATATTCTCCTAGTTTAAACTCAGAGAATCATCTTTGTTCATTGAATATACCAGTGATTTAATAGCACTCATAATTAACCAAATATACGTGATTGTGGTTTATCCTGCTTTGTATCATACAGATTAAGATTGATAGAAGCATATAGCTCTGAACATAAAATATTTGCTGAACTAAAGAGTTGGGAAAGGGCTAAGTCTTGGGCCATTAAGGATGTTCTGTTCAATGCCAAGATCTGAGGATTTGACAGTTAGTAGGGTCATGCAGTGTATAACTTTCCCTTCTTTATTTTTACATTCCTATAGTAGAAATAAAATAAGAAGGTGAGTAATATAAGTAGCACTACCACAGTGCATTGCCTTGCAATAATATGGTAATCTCCAGTAATGGAAAGGAAGCTTATAAAGAGATTCAGTACTGGCCATAAGTCTTTGGCTCTTACTTTGCTGGGTATTAAATTGTCATGTAGTTGCAATTTGTATCTCAGATTTTACAAACAATTTAGATGGTAGGAGTAAGTCTGGTAAGTCTAAAGTTGAATATGAAGCCCACAATTAAAAAGCTCTTGCCTCCAGTAAGTGTCTAGTAGCAATTGTACTGTAATATGAAATAGACTCAACAGCTGTGATTGGTGGTTAAAATATTTCTTAATACTTATAATCAATAAATACATTAATAGATATCCAGAGAGATGGTAGTACTGAGGATGAGAAGGAGTTTTTCTCTAATGGACTGTTGCTAATGTAAAGTTCAATTTTTCTTTTACTCCAAAAGCTTTTGAACGTTAGCAGGAATTAAGTAGTTCTGGTAGTCTGGTTCTGCCTTATTTAGCACAGTTTGCGCTGAGCCCAGGTCTAGCTGTTACAAGTTTATCCAAGTTGTTTTGGATATTAAATGAAAATTATAATTTGACAGTTATCATTTAAAAAAAAAAAAAAAAAAAAACACAAAATTTGTTTTTGGGCTAGTCTCCAAAATGGTTTTGTGGCTTAGCAGCTGGACTATATGCTGGCAAGCTCTTGGACTGTGGGCATTGTTAGGAAGCTCAGGAAGGCAGCAAGGCATTTGTGAAGTTTGACTTTCAGATTGGGTGTCCTGACCATTTTCAGGCCAGGACAAAACAGAATGAACTGGGAAGGTTGATGCATTACTGTAAATATATTATCTTCACATTGGAATAATGTGTGTGGGTTTTAAGTATTTGGATAAATAAAATTTCTAAAAGAAAAAGAAGTAACAATTGTGGTGGAGGCAGCTCACAAGAGTGCATCATTTGGCAATAGGTTGGAAACCACCCCCCACCCCCAAATGTTTTCCTTTGTTTCCCTTGTCACTAAATTTCCTCAGGCAATAGATCTTGTTTTGGAGCTGTGATACTGTAAATGAGGTACATATGGAAGGAGTCTAGAACATAACAACAGAGACACTTTGGCTATACCCAAATAGCATTGTAAGTCTATGTATTCGTCAGGTTGTCATAGCAACAGAAAATCGTGTCTCCATTTGTAGCTAGGGATAAGTCTCAACTACAAAACTGCAGAAAACTTTCTCAGTTGAGAATATGGATTCAGACAGTTTGCTGATGGGATGGATTGGGGCTGTATTCTGTTGGTTTTACTGTGCAAGGAGAGACAACATATAAAATTGCAACATGAACTTTAGCTTTTTATTATTAAGAGCTGAGAAACTGAGAACTTCAGCATCATCACTAGCTGTGGGCTCTGTTGTATGGAGCTTCCTGGAACTGTGCCTGAACAGTAGTAAAGAGTTGTGCCTACTGCTCAGA